GTGAAAAATTTGTGCACAAATGCACATAAAGCATTATTCACAGCACCTAAAAAAATCAGAAACTACCTAAATGTTCACTAGTTGATAAGTATATAAATAAAATGTGGAACACTACCAAGAACTGGCCAGACTTCTGATCTTACAGACGAATGTATGAAAAAGGATTAAATAAAGGCAAAATGAAATATGATTTAGGGGGGTGATCTAGGAAGGTCAGAACTCTTGGAGCTAAGACAAGGACTTCTCTGGACTGTATTTAATGGATCCTTAACAATTCAGGGTGGTGTGGGACAAAGACATTCTAGGCAGTAAATCTTGCCAGTGAAGAGAAGTCTTATCTCTAAGGTTGGTGGTTATTGCCCTGGAATAGGAGTGAAAGCCAACTGTCCTCTGCTGTGGTTTTTGGCCTTCAGAGGCTGTGAATATGAGCTTTTTCCAACACAGCAAGAGAGCAATGTGGTCAGCAAGTTAACCCTTACACAGCCTGGTCCACAACGGAATACATACTGTGTGGCATTTTTTCTTTTTTTGAGACAGATTCTCACTAGTTCAGGCTGCCTTTGAACGCATTCTGTAACCTAGGCTGGCTTTGAACTCACAATGACCTTCCTGCTTCAGCCTCCCAAGGGCTAGGATTACAGGCATGTAGCACCACCCCTGGCTACACAGCAGAATATTATCCAGCAATAAAACAAATTACTGATATATGCTGTAGTATGAACACATTAGAAACACTGTGTAATTAAAAGTAGCCAGTCACAGAACACCTATTATATGATCTCTTTTATGTACAATGTCCAGAATAGATAAATCTAGAGACAAAGTTAATCAGTGGTTCTCCAGGGGTGAGAGGGTTTGGATAAATGGGAGTGGTGGCTAGTGGGTTTGGGATTTCTTTTGGGGCCAATAAAAATGTCCTAAAATGATTGTAGCTATGATTATATAACAATTCTGCATATATTAAAGAAACCCCACTGAATTACTTACTTTGAACAAGGGAATTACAGCTCAGTAAAGTTACTTTTAAAGAACAGATCATTATAAAAATAAATCACATATTACTTATCTTTAAAGCAGTATCGAAGACCATCAATGAAAACAGGGCAGGATTTTCAGAGTACCCAAACAGAGCAAGATCAAAATACAAATTTTAGATCAGAAAGTATCAAGTTACAAAACAAGATCATATCAGTTGATCTTTATTTGCCTCAAAATTACTATAAAATCTGTTCATTGTAGACTGTGCTAGTTTAAGAGAAACCACAATGAACTGGGATGAGCACTGGGATTATAGGTAGCATGGGGTGCCTCGTTATATAATCTTTTGTAGGTCACTTAATATCCAAAGGCAGTGTCTCTAGTTCTACTACTTGCCAATTACCTGATATCACAGAGGTCTGATTAAGGCAATTAGTGGATAATGTAGTTCATCTTTATATAGGACCAGGCTCTGAAATCTCAGCTGAGCTTTTTTCCAGGCTTCTACAAAGACTAAAGATGTGGGGTCTATGGGGCTTGTACAAATACCAACTTGTAGAGCCTTTCTATGGGAGAGATGTAACCAAATCAATGCAGAGAACATTACATTCTTCCAAAGTGGGCATGCAAAGTATTTAGACTACTTAAAGTTACATAACAAATTCATATATTTTTAATTGTTAAGGTTTCAGTTTGAAATAAGTTCCACCAAGGCAAGATGATATACCTATGGGTAAGGGAACAGATACAAATAACCTAATGAAGACCTAGATATCTAAACTGTTTCTTTGCTGTCTTTCTTCAAGGATATTAGGTTTTTTTTTGTGGTTGCTGTTTGTTTTTCTTCTGGTACCAGGAATAGAACTCATGACCTTGGGCTTGCCAGGCAGGTGCTTTGCTGCTGACTAAATCCCCAGCCCCGGATATTAGGATTAATAAATCAAATGTACTAAACTGTGATTTTAATAAATTAACTTTTTTGTTTTTGTACCAGGAATTGAACTCAGTATCTTGCGCTTGCCAGGCAGGCAGTTATACCATTGAGCTATATCCCTAGCCCCAGAAAAGTTAACTTATACCCTGGTCCTTTTATCTTCTCTCATACTATGTTCAAATTCTCACCCCAGAGCAACTTAAATACATAAAGATTTTTAACTAATTTTAAAGAAAAATGGATGTAAAAGAATTATTTTCATTAACTGTATTTCAATTATTTTACCTTTGTTTTAAATTCTCTCTTTTCCCCTCAACTTCCACATCATTTGTAACTAGAGACTTCTAAGGCAGTGTGACAAGTGACATGTACCTGGTTGATTAAGATCAACATTTTGATTCATGCTATGTTGAAGGATCTAAAAGTTCTCTGTAGCTATGCCATTTAATTCAAGATCTCTAGCATGCAGTCATAGACAAAAATGGCCCAATGAGATAATTACAGATTCTCAAAACCAAACCTTCGTTGCATTGGGTCACATGATGATGGCATATGAATCTGAGAAACTGTTTAATTTTGGTTTGTGAAAATTACATGAATAATTAGCTGCATATGGAACAACCTTATTTCTGGACCATAAACTGTTATTTTCTCCCCCCCTTGATTTTTCTTTATACCCAGATGCAAAACATAGGAAGTAGAATTTGGATTTTCATTTCCAACATATATTAGCTACAGTGCCAAGGCAGAGCAACTGACCAAATGTTAGTGATTGAATATTATTATTTAAATTCAACATCGTAGCATTTCAAATGGCTCCTTTTGGTGGAGCAGATGGGTTGATGGCAACTGGGCCACACCTTGCTTTATCAGTTTTTCCGCTGTCACAAAACCCTCCCAACTCTAGCTGTGAGTGTAGCTGCCTCACAGTTAGGCCTGTCAGACCTAGAGATGGTTTCCCTGCCAGCCAAGGTGAGAATATTGTCCTGATATAGAGAAATACTGCTTTGTAGAAGTCCGGGTCTCCTGGAAGCTCCTCAGTCAACTACTCTGGCAGCTGTGCTCAAGCTCATGAATATTACATAAGGTTGGCCATGGATTGAAACCAGAACTTCCACCCCACCATTCCCATAGCAACACACACAAGCTTTACTCCTCTCAGAGTTGCGGAGTCTTGCAATTCGACCCTAATTTTCCTAGCAAGCTCAACACACTACTTACTCTTTCAAAGCCATAATCTTTCTTTCAAAAGAAAACCAACCACCGAGTTAAAATATGTTCACTCAAAAGCTACAGAGAATCACACAAACTAAGGTACCTTAGACTTGGACAGCAATCTATGCTTCAAAAATAGCTGTTATTCAAATGCCTGGGGAAAGGAATCCAAACCAGCGATTCAAATCATCATTTCATAGGGAAATGAACTGCAGCTTGAGGTAAATTCTTTATATTTCACATCTGATTTTCACTTATACAGATATATACACCCTTTGTCATAATGGATGAAGAAGAAGATATTCCCAGGGGAGGAGCTGTTTTAATCAATAAAATGCTTGGTTGCTTTATTTTTTAAAAGCCTAACACAATACATCTTTTAAATATAAAAATCTATGGAGTAAATGTGGGGGAAAGATTGCTCAAGACAGAAAATAAATATTAGCTTGAAGAAAGTGTGTGTGTGTGTTTTTAAACAAAGATGGGTTTACTGGGAAAAAAGTAAAATGTTTTGATATATGATATAGTTTCTCCTCTTTGTATACTTAGATTCTTTTTGTGTGGGTCTAAATAAACTACTTACCCATGGAAACAAGTTGCATGGATTATACAACAGCATAAAAAGAGAGACAACTCCCCTCTAAAAAAGGAGAGACCATTGTTTGCGTATCATTCTTCCTTTCCTATCAAAAGGAGAAAATATAGTCCATGAATCCTACCACTGTAAACCACACGCCGGGACACTCTCCTACAGCAAACACGAGCTTCAGGAGGAACCTCCACAGGTGATCCACCCTGGCAGGGCAAAACTTGGAAAGAAAGGTATCTGAGGAAGTGATGGTCTTACCTTTGCTTTGTCCAACTGGGCCTGCGCCTGTCGCTCTGCCTCTCTGCGCACTGCCTCGCGGTCCTCCTCCAGAGACACATCGGAATCAGATGGACGGCTGGTGTAGGAGTCTGCCGAACCCTGGAGAGAAGAGTGTGTATTTTTAAAATTGAGCCAATCTACGATGTTTGCATGAGAAAAATCTGATTGAAGTGGCAGTTTGCTTCCTGGATTGTGCTATAAATTCCTGAAAAGCGGGGAACAGAATCCATGTTGCAGCAACCCACCTCGAAAAAAAAAATCAGGCTTTGCTTTGCAGACCTTTCACTAGGGTACTGGTCCCTACCGCGTTACCATTCCTTCCCAACCTTCAGATTCCAAAAACTAAGCTTTCTGGAAGCCAGGACGAGTTCTTTTACAATGCCACCAGCTTGGTGGTGCAGTGCAGAGCCGCAGGGCACCACTGCTGGGTTTCAAGGGTGGCTTCAAGAACAACCTTCATTCATGCTAAAGCGGATATTTGCAACTCGAATATGAAGCCCAACCAGAAACACAGAAGTCAGTCTCATGAGTTAGAAACTTGAACTTTCCAAAATATCGCTTCCATGGCGACTCCCACTGTAATCCTGAGAACCTCTGGTACCTTTGTATACACCTGCCACCTTCTCAGACAAAACTGAGACCCTGGCAGCTAGCTACCTTCACTCCCGCTTCCAGCGACGCATTTCAAAAGACCTTTCTGTAGATAGTCAATAAGAGCGGTCTACTGAAAACACCTGCCTGGGATATCGCCTCTGGCAATACATGGCAACGCAAGAAAAGGAGCTCAGAAAAAAAAAAAAGATAAGAATCTCCCTAGCTCCCTCCTTTGCAGCCCTGAGCATTAACTCAAGCAAACCACCCTCCCTGCCTGTGTGCTCCCTGCAACAGAAAAGCAAAGCAAACAGCGTCTCCCCGCCTCGCCAGCCCCGGCGCTTACACAGATATCGGAATTCTTCAGCCTTCCTCCCTTAGCTCTTTTCAGAAGCCTGAACCAGGTGGCCTTCATGAGCCAGACAACGCCTTTATCCTCCGCAGCTGCAGCCCCGGGCACGGAGTCTCAGCGCGCGCCGAGCCCTGGAAAATCCCAGCTCCTTTGCTCTCCATGCTCCAGGTCAGCTCCTCTTCTCCGTCCCTGTCCGCCTGCGAGGCTCTCACTCCTTGCCCCAGCAGGCTCCCATCCGAGGAGATTCGGGTTCTCCCGTGCCCAGGGTGAAAGCACGCCCTCGAAGGCTGTCTGCGGCGTTCAGAATCGCACTCCAAGTGCATTCAAAGGCCGTAGGCAGGCAGCAGCAACTGTTCTAAACTTAATGCATTTTATTACGCTAAATGTTCTCTTTCCTGCTTTTGAATGGTTCAAGGAAATTAGTTGTAAGAGGACCTTAAAAAAAAAAAAACCTAGTGAAAAAACCCCCACAAAAAACCCAAAAGACAAACAAACTGAAAAAACGTATGCAGTGACATTTGCAAGTGCAAAGTTCAAGCCTTATCTCTGGAGATCTGGAGGGGGGGAGGGGAGGAGGACGTAGTCCCAGCACTGGGCATGCTCCATATGTAGCCTTCCTATGCAGATGCTCACATCACACTGTTCCTCTGTGTCAAATGCCATTTTACATCCGAAGTGTAAACAGCTGGAAAGGTCCCTTCGCTCCCCTAACCAGCACCTGGCCGGTTTTCTGGGTTTCTGTTTCAGACGAGCTCTCTCAAACACAAAGCATGTACGTAATCCTTTCACTTAATAATCCCTTTCCATTACCTGCCTCGGAAAGCACCTCTCATGCTATGAAGGCAATTCACAGATAATAAATATTACAGACAACATCAGACAGCAAAAATCACCTAGCGCCCACCCAGCATAGTATATAGTACAGCCCTTTATTGCTACAGACTTTCCAAACCAGAGGCCAAAGCGAGATCTGGCCATTTAATTAGGACTTAAAGTAATCACAGTTCTTGAAAGAAATGAGTTTAATGGAGCCCCAAATGACCTTGAACTGCATCTCCAACTGAGAAACCACCATTGGAAATAAGCCAGCAGAATAAGTAACTGTGTGGATTGTTACAACAATACTTAAGGAGAAATTTCAAAGCTTGGTTGATTAATTTGCTTGTGTCAGGATTCAGAGAATACTGTAATTGAATCCGAAGGCTTCTTGTAGATAGGGTGACAATGGGCTTGAGGAAGAAAGAGAGCAGTAAACAGACTAATGTCCTATAGGACAGAAATACAGTTTTAAAATACATTCTTGAAGAAATTCACACTCCCAGGTTTCTTGGACATAAATTAGAAAAGAAACTGCACCTTGACTATGGTGGGATATTATTTTGTAAAGTCTCACGCAAACAAAAGAAAGATGTTAATAAGAAAATCTTTCCCTCCCTTCCTCCCCTCTTCCTTCCTTTCCTTCCTTCCTTCCTTCCTTCCTTCCTTCCTTCCCTCCTTCCTTCCTTCCTTCCCTCCTCCCTTCCTTCTTCCTTTCCTTCCTCCCTTCCTTCCCTCCTTTCTTTCTCTTCCCTCCTTTGGACTCCAGGCTGATACCAATCTTCATGATCTAAATGCTATAAAATGCATAAAGTAGGGCCTTCACAATAAGAGTGCAAGCTTGTACCTAGATTTAACATCGTGACACACGTTACTAAATCGATCACTTATCCCGTTAGGAAGTGAGTGTAAAATGTCTGGGGGATACAGATGCATTGCAATTTTTTTGTTCAAGCAAAATTTAAAAGTGACAAATGAGTCTTGCAACACAGCCACATGTGGTACATGATCCCCAATCTTCCCAGAGAGCTTCTTTAGAGCAATAAGTAGCATCACGGAAAATGACCAAGATGCGCAGTTATTCTCCACAAAAGGCCTCAGGACCCATCGTCATTAGAGTTGGACTTTAAAACCCAATCACGGGGCTGGGGATTTAGCTCAGCGGCAAAAGCACCTGCCTGGCAAGCGCAAGGTCGTGAGTTCGGTTCCCGGTACCGGAGAAAAACAAAACAAAACAAAACAAACAAACAAAAAAAAAACCCAATCACCCTGTTAAAGGTTCAGGTCACACTTCAGTGAGGACATAGTTTCTGTCATTTAAGAACCCCTTAATGACAGGAAGTGAGTAATGGGAAACAGTTCATCACTCACAATTCTGTGCCATCTCATTCTCTTTTCATCAATATAAGATTTAAAAACCCTTCTGCTAATGATCAGTAGTAGCTTTCACATTTTGTCATCACCTCTGAAACTGATTTCCAGGTTTAAATAATTAAGCAGGTTTTTTTTTTTTTTAAATCTCTTTACTAACTTTGGGAATGATCTTTTGAATATCTGTAGCAATTTACTAATCTCTGACAATTTTATAACAAGACTATGAACTGATTTTGGCTTATTAAAGGAGATTACCTTTCATTCTTCGTATCTGTAATGGTATACTATACACTGTACTTAGAAAATAGTTTTCATTATAGAAGGTATCTGCACCCACTGTCAAAGAGAGAGACACCAAAAGCCATCACTTTAAATTCTCCTACACAAGATAGTCACTGTTAAGTAGAATATTTTAGTCTCCAGAGTTGGTGCATTTTTGAAAGTCACCCTTCTAACACACACAATTAATCTCTTTCCTCCCGGGAGTGTGGATTTATGCAGTTAGAAGTGATATTTCTAATTAAGCTTTTGCCTTTGGTACCATATGGACTTTCTGGGTCATCGTGCTTCAAGCAGTCTTTGGTCAGGAACAGCTGGCCGTCATTTCCGTGAGTCCCGAACAGGTTCATTACAAGATGTGCCCCTCATCTGTCCGCTCCTGCAAATGTGTTAGTTGGTCTTTGATGATCCATATTTCTTTTTCTACCTCTGAATCTTCACGTTGCTGATTGTATAGTTCCAAAATCAGCCCGAGCCTAATGTCTGTCAGGAGTTCATCCCAAGATCTTCAATTTTATCCTCAGAACTCTCATTCTAAATACAAGTTCTCTGCTTATAAGAAAACACAGTTTAATCTGATTAACTTCTGCTTTTATCTACTCTTCAATTTACTTTTGTACTTGTAAGTCAAATTTTTGTGCAACAAAGCATGAACTTTCTCCTTTAACTTTTTTTTCCTTTAACTTTTTTTTTTGTATTTGTAAAGTTTACTTTTCTGGTAGTACTCTGTTGTTTCACAGTCATATATATTACCAGCACTAGCTTTCTTGAGAGTTCTCATAAAAGCCCAAAGGACATAAGTTATAAGCCTATATAAGAGTGGCAACTTGCATCCACAATTGTGTCCTTCATTTATTTTGGCAGGAAATCTTGATATGATATCTAAAGCAATGCTCTTGAACCCAGTCGATCTCAAGTAATATCCCAAGGTCACCCTGATAATCACAAAACTACATTCCCTCAACTTCAAGACTCCAATCCACCTCCTCATGCATAGGACTATGGGAATCAATGGTAGATTTGACTCTAACTCTTTTCCCTGGACCTACCATGACATTCCACTACCATACTGGCCAGCCCCAGACTTTTTTAGAATACAGCAAACTGGATGAGGACCAGGGGGTGTATCTTTTAAGGGGGGCATAATTCTTTCATTTTTCCATATTGTCATCATCTTTTTTCACAGTTTAAAAGATTTAACATTTGTTCTGGGAACCAATCTAAATTGATCCAGAAATCTTAACTGCAGTTCCTTGCTTAATTTTTTTTTTTTTTTTTTTTTTGTAGACAGGATCATAAACTATTCATGGATAATGAGCTATCTACAGTCTAAAAATTAAAAAATGATGTAAGGTGTTGAGATGTGGCATGTCTTCACAAATATTGTCTACTTTCATTTGCAAATGTCATGTAATTGCTATTCAAATTAAAACAATAATGAATGTCTAAAACGTGATTGGATATCATTTGGCTAAATGTCAGAATATGTAACAACAGAGGTGACAGTAATGAATCTTCACAACATCATCTCTGTAGTATAACTTTATAAGCTAGTATGGTAGACTCAACTTTTAGGAGAGAATAGGAAAATTTATAAACTGTGTGTAGCTATAGTATGCACTGGTGAAAAAATTAAATTTGCAATTAAAAGACTCTCCCAAACTAGAAATCACACGCATTTACTGAGTATTTGCTACTTGGAAACTACAAATCTAACAAGAGTAAACTAAGTGGCTGTGAAAAAGACTGAGGCTTCATTTCTACCGCTGAACTTGATATTCTAGTGGAGGCTGAATTTTTTTAAGTTAGCAGAAAAATAATTGCTATTGGAGATGACAGAGGTTAAGAGAACAATGGTGGGAGGGAAGATATTTTAGTAAAGGAGATGGAATGAGAGTTGGAGATGACATTAAGTTGGAACGCAGAGCACAAAAGGAAAGAGTTTACCCTGAAATATGGTGAGAAAAGAGACATCCAGGCAGAGGGAGTGGCAGACACCAAGGCCCCAAGGACGAGAAATCCTTAGCATGTTTGATAAACTGCAAAGGGTCGGTGTCTCCCTCCCACCCTATCTCCCTCCATATGTATTCTATATATACATATGTATTCTATATAAGCCTTAATATATATGCTAATACACTATCTTCTCTATACATACTCTAATATGTGTGTGTGTGTGTGTGTGTGTGTGTGTATATTTTTTTGTACCAGGAATCAAACTCAGGAACTGAGGATCTTGTGCTTGCCAGGCAGGCACTTGTGCCACTGAGCTATATCCCTGGTCCCATATTATATTTTTAGACTCTACCTACTCTAATAGATCCTAGCACACATGAAATATGTATCTGAGACTTCTGCATGTACATGTTATCATCTAACAGAAAAAATTCTTACACATGTTTGATTTTCTTAATTAGGAGTGGCGCTTAATTTGCTGTCAGTAAACTCCACATTATTGGAAATATCATGTCTTCAGAGATTTAAACAATGTTCTTGGACTTTATTCCTTCCAAATCTAACACCGTCTCTTAGAGGCCAAGGAGTATGTTCTTGACATTGTTCTGCATTATGTGAATGATTAGGACAAGCAACTTATGAAGATTAGGCTTGATACACGAGTGATAACTGTGACCATTACCTTTCAATGAGTGTAGGCCTTGTGCTGATTTGCAAGTATTATCTAATTCAGTGGAGGTGAA